CATCGGACGGCTCGCAGGCCGTCTGCAGCATGCCGGACGGGGTCGCCAAGGACCAGGTGCGTTGGATCTGGTTCAGTATTTTGCTGCATTGGCTGAGCTGTGCTCGTAGGACGTTGAGATCCCTGGGCGCGTCGTCGATGCCTCGTTCGATTCGGAGTCGCAGGCCTCGCGAAGCGCTCTCATCTGAAACCTGCCTACCTATATGCGCTCCTTATTCGTCATTTATTGCTCCTGCCCGCAGGTGCGGGCTTGTCTCAAGGTTTGACGACATTCTTTCTCGTAGCGTTCGTTATGACTTAGATGTATGACCATTGTACAACAACGAGTCTGGCGGGCTTCGGTCATCTTAGCTTCAAAGAAGAAAAAAGGAACTACACGTTTGGGGACAGCTCTGAAGTGACAACGTACGCAAACTGAGAGGAATATGGGACGCCGCATGCTGTGCTGACATCGGGGTGTAAAGCTCACTCCGAGTGCCCCAAAAGCCATTACGAATTACCTCACATATTCATAAAATATATTGATTTAGTTGTAGTGAGCGGTAAGACGTGATGCTCAGAGGCATCGACTCGGCCATTTTTCACTTCGCTAGTGAATTCGCGCAGCTTCTTGAAAAACTCGACCTTGTCCCACCACTGAAAAGAATCGGAGTGGGCGGTCAGTAAAGTATCGCACTACGGAGCGGGAGAGTCTGGTGTACCTGGTAGGCGACAACACGAGCAGACGGGCTCGGGACGACGAAAAACCAGGTCTGGTCTATAGACGACGAAAATGATCCTGCCCTGACAGTGAGCAGAGATAACATGCACCAGGCTGAAAGCACGTACCAAGTTGGCGGTGCATGACTTTGAACGGCTGCATGCCCCAGTTGAACGAGTGTTTCGGCACCTTGGTCTTGCTTCGCTTTCGCGGTGTAGGTGAAGCGTCTATCGCCTCTGGTGAGCCGTCGTCCCGAGAGTGGGTCGTACCGTCGAAGAACTTGGACTTGAGAGGCGAGGCACGTCTCGACGACGTTGACTGACTGGACGGCGGACTCTGGCTCGAGGGGCTCAGAGAGGGCAAAGTCTCTTTTGAAGATAGCGAAGCAAGGCGGTATGCCTCGCGCAAGAAGACTTCCCATATTCCTTTCGAGAGGAAACAGACGATCCGCGGGCGGTACTTTGCGAACTTGTTCATCAGCGCAGGTACACCTTGGCGCATCTCGTCTGCCGCGAGCTCTGATTGCTATCACAGTGTCATGAGACGTGTAGATGCACAGACATCTCTGATACGACATACCTCGGCCGTCGGTCTGTAGACCAGATTGGTCTACAACGACGTTAATTCGAATGAGCCTGTTCATACGTGACTCATCGTCCACTCACTAAGCCAAAGTTGTACTTGTCAGGCAGTGTATAATCCTCATCAGGTGACAGCAGGACATCTGTTAATCCTACACTTATCCTTCATTTGAGCTGGATGAGTACTTGGGCACGGCGCTCGCAATGCGCACCAGATTCGTAAAGACCCAACCAAAAGTGATTAGTCGAATGTGCATAATGATGGCCATTCTCCGCAGAGGTATATCCGGGGCTACGACCAATCAGTAATTATGCACCTTGTGGAATAGAAGGACCAACTTGATACC